GCATATATAGAAGAGAGGTCCTCAATTTACTCGGCGAACCGTTATTCTTTTTAGATTGTATACAGAAAATCCCTTCCGTAAAATTGGGTTTGTTGATGTTATGTCGTTCAGACTCATAACAGATAAGAGTATTTCGGAGCCACATGACCACAGTCTTGGAGACCCTCAAGCCTGTGGAACGGACAGGAGAGCGAGCATTTTGACTTGAAAGGATTTTGAACAATTAAACGACACCATTTTCGCTCAGTCATCGCAGATATTATGCAAAAATAAACCTGACTACTAACAACGAGATAGTAGCGTCATTTTGGCTCTCAGTTATGGTCGGAAATACATAAAGCCTGCATTATATTCCTTGGGGACATTGTCAACACTATCCGTTTTTCTCAGATCCACAACTCCAGCAGGTAATTTTGATCCTTCTGCTGCCTGGGGATTACGATTGTCAATACCCACCTGGCGCAATGAATAATAATGAAAATCACATCTTATGGACATGTAATGCCAAGTCTACATTGGCCCATCTTGTCTCACTGGCATCCGCGTATACAAAAAAACTTTCTTGTGTAGCATGTTTAAATAACCTAGCTTTTAGCAAAATTTTATCGCTGCTTTATTGAATGACAGTCTGTTGAGCGCATTGGGAATCACACTGTATCGACGATATTCGTAAAGTATTAACCAACCGTGGTAGTATGGCAATGATTAGAAGCTCCTAAGTCTATCTATTCCTATTTTGACATCTTTCTTCTATTCACCTCGATATCAATGTATATCCTTACAAATCTCAGTCCTATGGCCGCTCAAGTGTCTGGGAAGTTATGGTGGTGGACAAGCGAGACTTGGATGTAGCTGACGCCTCTGCGCCCTACCTATTCTCCGACGTCAACTTTATCCTGGGCGCGAACACCTGCACCTCGCTCTCTCCTCAGGGCTGTAATGGTCCCCTGAAACCCTCAACCAACTATGCGTAAGTAGGCTCTGTGCAAGGATGCATCACTATTTAGAGTGGCTAGGCTTTTGTGTCAAGCTTCAGCCTCACGTTCACTCTTGACATTTTATTTTTCAAAATTGGTGTGATCTGATTTTTACAGCTTATTTGTGTTGGCTATGTTTTTTATTTCGGTTAAGTTGGTTATGCACTGGTCTCTTCCTCTGTACTCATGACGATTTTCAGCAACAGATCGTAGCATTGGTACATTGCCAGACGTTTCACTGGCATCTGCTGACGCTAGAAATTGTTATAACTACTATGTTATATGACTTCAGACAAAGTGTATTCGTCGATGCCTCTTTGACAAGACGACAAAGTTACGAATACAAGGTCAGACCACTTCCATTAAGCGAAAAGAGACTGAAGCCAAAACATAAGCCACGAATTCTTGGTCTTCAATTCACTTGTGTGCCAACCCACAAACGTTGTGGTTCAATATTGAACCGAGTCAAAGCAAGCATAACCACAAC